AAAGAAACCTTTTGCCGCTGTACCCACACACACACATATGCACGCACATGTATATATATATATATATATATATGTATGTGTATATGTATGTGTATATGATTCGGGGCTCTCGAGCGCGAAGAAAAGCTACTGCGGTACCTGCGCCATTTTGCTTAATCACCGTTAGAGCGAGTGTATAATATTAATATGATGTATACATTACACGCTTAGTATAGATATATAGGTGTACTATAAATACATACACAGAATAGAGTTGAGAGAGAGAGAGAGAGAGAGAGGTATATATATTATAATATTAGAAGCAAAAGAATAAATCGATAGACCAATGGCCAGCGCGCGAACCGCGCACGCTTGCGCCTATATTTCCCTCCTTCTCTTCCCCTTCTGATGTCCATCCGTGCATATATACAGTGTATAAGCGTATAGCAAGCTAACGAAACTGGCCACGCTATATCATTATATATATATATATAGGCTCGCGTGTGCTTGCGTTGGAGGAGCTTTGCCATGCATGTGCAAGCTCTCTCTCTGCGCGCTGTGTTTTATGTATACCTAAGGGCCATATATATAGCGGCGAGCGAGCAGCAATTTAGCTGATTCATTCCTAGCGCATGATTTATCAGCTATTTATGCTCGTGCCACGTACATACACACGCACACATGTATATATGCAATGCGCCATACTCTATCAATGTGTGCGCGTGCGTGCGTGGGTGTGACAGATAAGAGCTTCCGAGCTGTGGGGGTATATATATATATATAATTCTATGCATTTGTGATACTTATTGCCGTGCTTTGGTACATGAATATATTATAATAGTGTGCCTAATAGGCTCTTTTTTGCAATTTATTTCTTTGATTGTAGTTGCATGTATAGGTTCAGGGTGATAGCGAGAGGGACGGTGCCTGCCGGTGGGTATCGGTGACTTCGGGCTGCATTATACATATTACTTATGCCCTGCGCACCTGTATTATTAGGAAAATGAGGAGCGCGTGTATATGTAGTGTAGGTATACATCATGCAAGTGGTCTATAGCCCATCTACGTCGCTGTGTGAGCTACACGTGCGTTGAATCTCAATTTTTTTTTTTTTTTTTTTTTTTTTTTTCACTCGCTGAATAAATAAACTCGTAAATTTATCATGAAGATTCTGGTACGCTTTTGATGGCTAATGTGCGATGCCTGTGCTTACACGGCTTCTCCCGTAAAGGGGGAAAAAAAAAAAAAAAAAAAAAAAAAAGAGAGAGAACAATTATCTGATTATCAGAGTGTTGCGAGCTGATAATTGCTGCCCTGGCTTGTATTATAATAAAATTAATGAAAGTACACGCGAGAGTTTCATCACGAAACGAGCGATTTTTCAAAAAAACATATGATGGCAGGGAGAGATAATAATCGCATCGTTTTACCAATACAGCTGGGATTCGATCGATCGTATTTTATACTTATTGCTTTGTTAGCAGGTGAGAAAAATGTGTTTTAACCATAGACCCGATGATGATACGATGCGAGAAAAATCAATTTTTTCCTATTCCGTTTTGCGAGCGATGATCAACAGCCGGATTGTTTTTTGTTTAATTTTGCGAAGTATGGTATTTCCCCTTTTTTTGAAGAATTGATTAAAAAACCACAAGCAACAATAACATTGTAAATATACGCATGATCGTCGTTGTGGGTTAATTTAACACCAACTCGTACACGGTTCTCCGGTTGAGTTTCTCAAACGTGCATTTGAGCGCGAGAAAGCTCACCGCGTACATACTTTCCAGAAGCTTCATCAAATATTTGTCCAGCGCGAGATAATATTTTCCCAGCAGCTGTTGATAATGTGCTACCTGGCTTTGTACGGAGAGCACAATATACGCTCACACCCAAACTCCGGGACGATATTTTAATCACAGAATCAAGTCTTTGCTTCTCTCTTTTCTTACCTCGTACCTTTTCGAATTAGTATATTGCCTCTTTTTTTTTCAAAAATAATAAGTCGATCGTTCGATCGGTTCGAGACAAACGTAAATTTGTAATATTTTCGTAACTCTTTAATTGTCTTTTGTTTTTAACCTTCGGCTCTTGGCAAATCAATTATCGAGAAAAAACACCCAATCACACGACATGTTATTCACGCTTTTGATTGCACTCGGCGGCGGAGAGTCGGATAAAAAAATTAAGGGTAATGGTTATTTTATTAACCGCGCCAAATGAGCCGTTTTCCGCTTATACAGACGCACGGATCGAAAAACAGGATGAATAAGTAAGGCCACATAAATAACCCATATTGCCGGCTACGTATACATATTTAATGCCGATGGTGGTAATTTAAACAATTGTTATCGACACTCCATCAAAGAATCATCCGAGTGACACACGTGACGTTTGGTTGTAACGGTGATGTCAAAACAATTTTGTTTCCCCCCTCCAACGTAGAAAATGGGCTGGAAAAAAAAAAGTTTTTTTTTTCCTTCAATCCCCGTGACACCACGTTTGCGTAATGCGCATTCGTTACGAAAACTACAATCTCATTGTTAAAAGAAGTCGAAATGGAAAGAAGCGCTTGGCGCAACGTGTGCTATAGATACGGAAGAATTTATTATACGCGATGCTGTCTCTCGATTCGTATTCGGGTATACCTGTACGTGTGTGAAGAAGAAGAAAAAAAAAAAAAAAAAAACACCACTCTCGCGTGGGACTGCCGAGGTATGTTGCGCTGTGTACAAACCGCACAGTAGCAAAGCCGCAGGGGCATCCGACTATAGTGTGCCAACGCGCATATATTATATACATGTACGCATTGAACTGCAGCTGAGTCAATAAAAAAAAAAAAATTTACATTAGAATTCCGCTGCATCGTAATAATGAAAATTTCAAGTGTGTGACTGTGTGTGTGTGTGTTGGTACCAACGGCAGACGCGTAGAGTTATATACATGTGTATATTTACACGAGGGAGTGTTTGAACGGTTATTACGTAAGTGTACGTGGCTCGACGAATTAAAAATTTAAATTCAATCCTCCGCGGGAGATAATCGATTCGGGGGAACACCAATTTTACCACCTAACGCGCGTATTCAATTGAAAGAGAGTATACGTATAGCTTGAAAAGACAATTTTTTTTTTTTTTTTTTGTCTTTTGGTAAGCGCTGGTCGGTCGTTACACAACTCGCTCAAATCGTAAATAAATCACGGAAAAGTCATGCGCCGCACGATGAACTATTCACGCCAAATGAGCCCAATCAAGCTGAAGGTATAACGACGCGGCTCGGGTTTTCTACCTGGAAACGAGCTAGTCGTGCAATTACATTACAGTACCTACGCAGCTGGTGTAAAAAAAAAAAAGTTGGGGAAAAAAAAGGGTGGAGAAAAGCAAATCATTCGCAGAAACGACGAGGGCAGCTTGACGGAAGCAGCTCTTTGGATACCCATACGTGTTCTAGCGGATGCAATTATTATATTGCACATCGGTACACGTTATACTTAAAAGTTATTGGCTTCCGCGAGAGAAAGATCGTCATTGGAATTTTCGCGTGGCGTGCTGGTTCCCGTTACTGCCAATGTTATCATTATTATTATTATTATTATTATTATTTATACTATATATGCGCGTTGTACAAGTATAATATATGTATGAGAGTCGTTTGTACGGCAACGACTGCAGGTTATCGTCACCGGGGAGAAAAATCGGTTGGATTTGGTGTGCACTCGTATATACATTTGCCGAAAATGCAATGGCAACAAAGTAAGAAATTCTATAAAAAAAAAAAAAAAATAAAAAAAAGATGTACAGTATATTTTGTGGGTGAGTATGTACAAGCGCATGGTAAGTATACTTTTGTCGCCCGAGTTTTCCAGCCGTACAATCACCTTTGTTCCGTCCTCGGGTGGCGTTGGCTCGATTTGGTTGAGAAAGAAATGAAACAAACAAGAAAGGCTGCAGAGGAAGCAAAAACCCATCCGGAGGCACGCGCGCGTACGTATACATACACATACGGTGGAAAAGAAAGAAAAAAAAAAAGAACCCCCTGACACCCACGCATCAGTCGCAGATAGCACATAATAGCCTATATATTTATATATGCGCGAGAAGCGACGGTCCAACGGCAGAGAGTAGCGATCCGGAAATCAATTGAAGAACCGTCCGAGCGTAGCCGAAGCTATATGTATATACACACAGGGAGGGAGGAGGGGTGGTGGGGGTGGGAGTTGGTGGAGGAGTGGGCGTCCCAGGAGCGAGCGCACAGCGCCGGCCAATTGGCCCGATCGCGAGACTAATGGTGGGTAGGCGGGTGAGAGAGAGAGAGAGAGAGAGTGAGCACAATAAAAGGTATATACCCACAGAGCTCTCGTGTGTGGTGTGGTGGTGCAGTTGGCGTACAACGCGACCGCGCGACCATGGTGTTAGTGCACGCAGGCGTTAGTATGCGTGTCGTACGGGCAGATACCGAGAGTGGCAGGGTAGATATGGGTAGAGGTAGGTCGGCGAGGCAGGCAGGTAGGCAGCTCGCGGATATGCGCAAGCCTGAGCGCGCCTCCACTGCCCTTTCGCGCGCTCTCTCTCTCCCCCCCCCCACCTCCTCCTATACCTACCCGACCAACCAACCTACCTCTTCTTCTTCTTCTTCTTCTTCCTCTCGTGCCGGTTACCGGTGCAGGCATCGATTACCCGAGGCGAGCACCTACCGCCTCAGAGAGTGTCGGGCGCTCGAGCAGTAGCACATCAACCAGTAGTTCGGTCCCCCCGTATTATACTTAACCAACAGTTGTGTAGTAGTAGTAGTAGTAGTAACAGTCGCAGTGGCCAGACACACCCATGCCACTCGTATACGTGTGGTGATTCTGTGAAAGTATATACATATACATATACATATATTATAGTGATCTCGTGTACGTATATGTATATATAGGAAAGTCGATTGACATTGAGAGTTGGGGAGGATGCGCTAAGAGACGCGGAGCGACGGGCATCGTGATCGTCGGGTTGTGCGCGCGCTGGTTTGGGTCGCAGATGATGATAGGCGGCGGGCTCGCGACGCCAGCACCGGGACAAGCCGAGGAAGCAAACAGGCCCGCGCCGGGGACGGACATGCTCCTCGAGGAGAGGCTGGCCAGCGGTGCGGCCCTCGCCCAGGCGGTACAACACGCGGCCACGGTCCTCGCGGTCACGGCGCCCGGTAGCAGTAGTCCCGCGACGCCCGCCACTGCACAGCCCCCCGCGACCCCCCAACGGCTGCACCGCCGCGTCGACGAGACAAACAACAACAACAACAACAGCAGTGGTAGCCTCAACAACTCGAGCGGCAGGAGCAGTCGGAGCAACAGCAACAGTAGCCGGAGTAGCGTGCACGAGGACGAGTCGACGCCACCGCCGGTGCTGGTGGTTGGTAAAAAGTCGGGGGGCTTTTGCCGGGACGAACAGTCGCAGCAGCAGCCGAGCGTCGCCCGGCCCTGGGAACAACAGACTCCGTCCGCCCATCCGACGGCTGCCCCCTTGGTGCATCACCAGCACCGCCACCACCACCACCACCTGCCCATACCTCCGCAGCTCATCGACGGTAGGTTATTTCAACTGTATCCGCTTGATCGAGTGTCCCCCCCCCCCCCGCACAGACATTTATTATGTGTAAAATAGAATTTTAAATGGTGTCTCCCACCCTGCAGCCACCCGTGATTTATCGGCTTGGGGAGGCGTGAGGAATAAGCGAAGCGTGCCGATTTCGTAAATCTCTCGCGAGTTTTTCACCCATTGTCTTCCTTTTCGAATACCCTCGCCGTCTTTTTTCCTTTTTCACTTTTTTTTACTTTTTACCTCGATATCCATCGGCACATCGGCAAATTATTTCCACGAGGTGTATAGTGTGTACGCTGTATATACACAGTAATTGGTCGCGACCTACCGACCACTTTGTCGCAGAAATAATATTTCCCCCTCATGCATGAGAGTATCATAACAATCGGCATAAGTATACAAGACTTGGGTAATACAGCTAATCCATTATCTCGATCGCGCGTCATGGGGAAGACGGTATATAGTACGTAAGTAGCAAAAGCGATATATTTATAAATTATATAAATAGGGTGTTTCTTTCTTTCTTTTTTTTTTTTATTCATATAGCCGTTGAGTGCAAAGCTCGATATTTACGCCGTGGCATTAGTAGCGATTGTATACAGCGCTGTATTATCGCGCTCACATATTATGTACCGACGATTAGTCGGCTACCGATTTGCCGATCTCGCGGCGCGAGAGCCAGAGGTAATAGAGCGATAATTCACTCTCGAGATTCGAGGGGCCGCACATGTGATACAATATACGGGTTATGCACCTCATGCATATTATAAATACATACATGCATATACGCATTGTACGTCACATGGTGGGTATAATGTACATAACACCCATATGTGTATAATAATAATATAAACCCGTACTTATTCGCTTTTCTTATCTATAAACGAAGTTAATTTAGCGCGAGCGACAATTACACGGCGATTATAAGTATGTACACGTGTGCGCGCGCGTGTGGAGGTACATATTATATACAATATAATTGCAGTGGGCTGCGCGAGCCAGACAAAAAGAGAGGGGCGTCGATCGAGAGTGTGATATAACACATGTCCCTTAACGGAATTATAACACACACACACGAGACAATGAATATTTCATGAGCATCGGTGCGGGTCGCGCACATATCTATACCCATATGCGTAGGCATATATAAATAATAAAAAAAAAAAAAAAAAAGACCCAAGCCGAAACACCCGTGTGTTGGTGTTTACACTGTGGCGCTGGGCGCATCGCATAAATACAATCGGCCTGTAATTAATTAACGATAGCGATCACCCGATTGCCAACACTATTGCGCCACATTTGTATATACGAACATACCGGCTGTCTCCTCCTCGTTCCTCTTCTCCTTCTTGTCCGTCTTTGGAGCTTCATTTTTCTTTTTTTTTTTTTTTTTTCCATGTTCCCTTTTGGTTAAGCGAGGTGCTATTTTTCGGGTGCCCTCGCACGCACGCACACACACACACACACACGACTCTGCCCGCAGAGAGATAATCTAAATTACAAGGTGGCGAGAGCTGATGCGGGGGTATACGCGAGTCCCCCCCCTTGGAATCAAAGATAATTGAGCAGCAGAGAGAGAGATAGGTATCATCGCTCGGGCCTTTTGCAGCCGTCCACACTTTTGCCATCTGTATGTATATATATAATAATAATACATATGTACAAGTGCGTACACAACTACAACACGTGTGTGTGTGTGTGTTTGAGTAAAGAAGAAGCAGGATATTATACGAAGGTGACAGTGGCGAGGGGGAGAGATCGTAAATGCCGAGTACTTTGTCTTGGATTTGTACGTCGTTTGCCGCTGGTGTGAGCTTTCAAAGCGGATATGCACGGGAGGTATATACCTATACACACCGTCACAGCCATCATCGGGACTTTATATGTACACGGTATAGGTATATCGAGAGAGAGAGAGAGAGCGTTCATCGCTCGCGTAGATATGCGCGTACGAGGGGTGGGTGGGTACGATATTGCGTGGAGAGCCTTTACGAGCCGAGGATTGTTCGGCGATTTGATTTTCGGATGAGCATCGCCGACCGTACCTCGTGTGGCTCAAGGAGCGAATGTCGGGTCCTTAAGAGCGCGCATTTTACTCCCTTCACTCGACCATCACTGGTGGCTTTTTTTTCCTCCCTCCCTGATTTTACGGCGCCAGTGTTATTATTGCAGTCGCGGAAATGAGTCACGGCTGCTTCTTCGAGAGGGGGTGGGGGCCTTAATATTTTCATTAAAGCATCTCCCGATGGGATCTTCGGGGCCCTTTGGGTATGCAGTACGGGGACAACCTGTCCACTCGTTGGAAACAAACAAACGTGAGTCGGAGGAAATGAAAAAAAAAAAAAATATCGCCCCTGCGACAATTACAACGGGCTACTCGTACTTGTATATATTATAATATACCCCTAATGATAAATAAGGGGGAGGGTTGCTAATAAACTATATGGATATTTATACAGGTAGATATTATAAACGTAGAAGAAGCAGGTACATACGTGTGTATACGATACTTGGAGAGAAAGAGGGGTGGAGCGGGGCCCATAAATATTCACGGTAATTAAATAGCCATCCTTCATGATAAATGCCTCAATCGGCGTCCCCTGTGAAATTTCTCACCGCACGTTGCCCAGCCCGAGCGCGGGGGGAATCGAGCTGAAAAGGCGCGAACGACCGAATAATAAATGGGAGGATGAAGAAGTAGAAGAAGGCAACGGCAGAAGCGGCTCTCTTTCCCCCCTCCCTCTTTCATGTACAATTGATTCGTTGGACGCCGATCCCGAAAAAGCATCCACTCGCATATACGTACACACGGGCGCTGAAAAGTGCGTGAGCCACCTCGGAATCACGGAAAGGATGTCTCCGGACAGAAAGAGGGAGAGAGGGAGGAGGATTTTATTGCCTCCGCGTGATTAAATCAAGCGCTGCGCGGACAAGCGACACGCGAGGCATTTCAATTAGCAGAGAGCCCACCGGTATATATGTACATTGTATACGGACCCCGTGTATATACATACATATATATACATATATATACATACATATAGATACAACGCCCAGAGAATTGGACGACTGTCCTGCACCTCCTCTCGCTTCGGTGCTCTACATAGTTAGCCGTGCCTATATGTATCCCAATTAGTCGTCCTTCCAATTATATATACATATTATAGGTATATATTATCTCTCGTGTATATATATATAATGTACCCTGTACCACTACTGCATCCACTCCCGGGCCAATATACCGATCGACACACCCTCCAACACGTATATATATATATGTGCACATGTACCCACGATACTTGTAACTACATTTGCAAGAGAGCATCGGCAGCAGCGGTCCCGATTATCCGTAGATTATACGTACCTATATAGCTCTCCGCTCTGTTACACACATCAGAGAGTGCAAACGAAAGAACCACCAGAGAAAAGGAAACGATTGAAGTTTCCTCGCGATCGCTGTTATAGGCATAGTACTATCCGCAGAGGCGATTAATTGTCCCGGGAGATAGGCCATACGGAACAAATTCATCTCTCTCTCTCTCTCTCGTGCTCGCATCCTTCGCTGGACCCTATACGTGTATAATATATGTATATACACATTGTAATACTTTTGTTCCTTGGCTCGTCTGCAACAAAAGCGTCGACATATCCGAGGGGCCTGAAACGAAACACACACACACAAGCGCGTCAGTCAAGGCCAATATAGCACGATATCCTTCCAGGCTACACCTACACATGTGTACCGAAACTCTAGAACAATGTATATTATACAGCTACCCTATATACGTGATTGGCCACTCACTATGTATATTTTTTATTCTCGCTTTCCCGGTAGCACGCGGATAACGCGGGGAGACCCTTCCTTCTGATTTACACGCGCTCACGCCCACGCGGCTGCGTACCCGATATTCAATCGGACAATGCACGCGTGTGTTACTGGAGCCGAAAGGAGCGCGCAGCCTCTCTCCTTTGCGGGGCCCATGTATATGTATATACATACACCTATTTAGGACGGAGGATGAGGTGGAGGGGCCGCATCAATCGAGCAATCATGACTGCGTATTCGTCATTGTTTCTAGGAGGAGGGAAGACAGACGGGGGCGGTCTCTCTCGGATTTAACCTGAAAAAATCATTTATAATCGAAGAAGCGTGTCCAGGACAAATTAAACTTTCGCTCGAGCGTGCCAAATCGTTTACCTTTTTTCCTTCACCCCCCCCCCCTCCCCGTGCGTGTATATATATATACATAAAGGCCTGGGTTCCTCTTTAATCATTTAACCGCTGACTTGCACAAGATACACAAACCTCGGCGCTGCTGCTTTTTTGGGTCCCCCCTCCCTGATGCCCCCTATTCCCGGATATTTTGTATGTATACGCGTCGCGCGCACGAGCTTATTTTCCCGAAAAATTATGGTCCCCGCCGCGTTAAACACCGGGTACTCGTGCAATCTAATATGCTCCCTATACATTATTATTATTATTATTATTATATATGGACTTTTTAAAAGCCGAGGCTAAACAACACACAACTATATGTACGGGGGGGACCCATACCTATAACGTGCCATTATTGTATTAGCCTATACATTAGCCCGTGTTGTACGTGCGTTGGACGTTGGATGCCCGAGATTCCTGACTAATGCGCGACTCATTGTTGTATTGGCCAAACCACATAGGTGTAGGTATATTATATATTGGAACGATTAGCGGAAATTTATCGATTTTTATCATCCAACCGGTCGAAATTACGTAAACTTGATGACGGAGGTGCCTTCTTGGAAGATACAGTACCTCATGCCTATGCCTACGTATATACGTGTGTACACGTTTAAATATGGTTAAAAACAATATGGTTGCACATGACGTTTGTTACCCGCAAAAGTGTGTGTGTGTGTGTGTGTGTGTGTGTGTGTGTGTGGGTATATATATATATACTTAATCCAGAAAGTCACTGGGAGGGAGATCGTATCTCTTTCACTTAGGCCTCTTATTTTTCCCTTTCGCTACGTCATACAGGTATACCCATACCCGCGGATAACGGAAGGCATAAAACCAAATTAACTGTGTGGTAATCAAATTTTCGACGCTCTCTCTCTCTCTCTTTTTCCCCCCTTTTTTTTTACGCACGATGCCCATACCTTTACACACTTTGATTGCGTTTTTTTGACCCACCTTTTTGATTCCTTTTTTTTCCATCTCTGTTTTTTTTTCTTTTTTTTTTTTTTTTTCCTCTCGGTTGTCCCACTCTCTTACGCTGGAGCGAATGCGAAGCCATTCCGGCTACTTTACGAGGTATTAAACGACGAAAATCGGGAGGAAAAAAAAAAAAAAAAGTCCGACTCCCGATTTGCCGAGGAGAGGCGCGCGTCTGCAGCAAAATAAACGAAACTGCTGCGTCTTTTGGCCAAAACGCAACCAGTGGACACTATATAAGTATAAATTGCATTATACACCCGTGCCTTAATTGACCGATTTCTGCTCGGATAAGCCATGCACACACCGGGGCTCGGATCGTTAAGTTTTTTTTTTTTTTATTGTTCAGCCCGAGCTTTGTATCCATACCCACAGCCCAGCATATTGACAAACGTCAAACATATAGTTATATTGTGTTGTGTGCGTGCGAAAAAGCTTCATACGAAATTCACGAGCTTTTACCCCAAGGTATACGTGGATTTGTCTCATCTCGATTCGTTGGATGAATATCATTTGTATCGTGTACACCTGTACCTGCGAAATAATTAAACTATAACTCTATGCATGCAAGCAAAGCGTAACCTTTATCTGGAGTAATAATGATTCCGGTACATTATGACTGGTGGATGACACAGGCATGATCGCTGTAGTTTTAAGTATTTGTTAGGCTGCCGATAGTTGGGAAAAATGGTTATTCTCGATAAACCCAGTAACAAAATGAAAAGAAAAAAAAAAAAAAAAGAAAAAAAGAAAAAAAAAGACAAATCTCACGTAGTGCAACGATTGCAGGTATCGGGCTACCAAACTGCGGGGCCAGCCTGTTTGGGAACAGCAGCGGAGGTGGCGGAGTCGCAGGCAGCACCACCACCAGCAACAACGTCAATAACAGCGCCGGGGGCGCGACGAGGCAACGGATGCTCGAGCTGTCGCACGGCCTGGGGGCCCTCCGGCACTACAACGACCTGGCCAGTCACGTTTTATCGCTCAACCAGCAAGGCGCCGTAGTCACCAAACTTTTGGGTGAGCCGAACTCGTCATTATACACCATACATTATATATATATATATATATATATATATATATATATATATATGTACTTAAGTGTTCGTTCTCTCTACACCTTGTCACCTGCACTCACTGTAATGCATAAGTACATTTATACACTTGATGACATGTACATGTTTACAATCAGTATATGCCTACAAGCGCACAGATCACGAGTTACCGCTGCAGTGTTGGGGTGTAGCGGCGCAATTTACGATCGTGTCTCGCTTGCCGATTTGATTCGCTCGTTTTTTACGGCATAAGTATAATCATTTTAACACGAGAGCTAATTTATAAGCGCGTATGAGGCTGTTTTATTTATTGTCCGCCCTCGGGTGGTTTTGGGAGGCTGGTACTTCCTCGGGCGAAAAAGCAGTTTTCCGGAACTCGTTCGAAAAGTCTCCTTTACGAACCTCGTTACGTCCCTCGCCTTCGGCTCGGGCCGCAAACCTCTCGGTTCGCAAACAGAGACTTTTCAAACTCGTAGGAAAACTACTATTATTATTTTTTTTTTTATTTGTAATTCCGAGATCCGCGGCTAATTAGGAAATAATGCGGTCTGTTTATCGTAAGAGTGTCGCAGTTCGTGAGAAACAGTCTCGTTAAAATCGATTAGAATTACGTATGCAAATACACATACACAGAGACATATCGCGGTATTGTTTCATTTTTATGTTTATTTATGTATAGGTACGCGACAATATCTTTGATGTCGTCGAGAATTCCTTGATACGTCTCGATATCTCAACGCAAGATGTATCATTTCGAAAGTTTGTCGCAGGAAATTACAAAGTGAAATCTGCATTGCGTCGTCGTTTCAAGTATTTTTCACTTTGTCGTTTCGATAACTGCTTTCTTGCGCTAGTCGCTCGTTATATCTGAAACTTGTGCTGTTTGAGACAGGAGTGTACAAATGTTGAAAAATTCACGAAAGAACATAAAAAAAATAGTGGTCATCTGAATCGTACGTAACAACTGGGTTAAACAATTTTATTTTATTATTTTTTTTTTTATAAGTCATGGAGTGGCTATATGTGACCCCGTGCTATTATAAAAAATGGAACACTTGCTATGAATTATAATTTTACTCGCAAAGTACAAACATGTTTAAATATTTATGAAATACTAATAAACGTACGACTTTTACTAAAAAAATTGCCAAAGTCTAAAAATTAAACTATCGACTTCTCAAGTGATTAACTCTAGATATCAGGATAATATATAGACCTTACAAGCTTATTTCGTAGTTTATCTCGTAGTAGTAGGATGATTAATAAATTTGAAAATTTGATTCGTATTTTTATCGTGTAATTTTTATTTCTAAATACTTCTAAAATGGATGAAATTGTTATTGACAGGGAAATTTTTAAATATTTTTATGGTACACGCTTACAGTCATTTTACGTAAATTTTTAAACGCAGAAATTAGCTCTACAATTACTGTGACACATTTAAAATTTCCATTAGATTCCAGTTTATAAAGTTTTCTTTTATTTTCTAATAACTTGATGTAGAGTCATGTCACATAATATTGTTTAAAATATTGTACTAGTAAATTTTATTACTCGTTGATGCTGTCAAAAAATTTTTCACGTCTACCCTACACACAATACATTCGAGAAGTGAAACCAGCATTAAAAAATCAAAGTTTAAAATAAATACAAAATAAACAGCATTATTATTATTATTTTTTTTTTTTTTGCAGAAGTTGGAGTTTTGGCTCCAGACGCAAAAAAAAGATTTAGAACGAACCCCAAGATCGTGTGTACGAAATTTCAAAGTAAAGTATTGAAAATAAAAAATTTAAGTTAACAAAACTTTGATACGTATTTGGAGCCATTTTTTCAGATGATTATTTATAACTAAAAAAAAAAAAAATTTCACTACCTTGGATCGCCAAGGCGCAAATGCGTTTACAATTTTACAAACTTTAATG